CCTCCCAGGTTCGAGCAATTCTCCTGCCTTAGCCTCCCGCGTAGCCAGGACTACAGGCGCGTACCACCATGCCCAGCTAATTTTTTTGTATTTTTAGTAGAGATAGGGTTTCACCATGTTGGCCAGGAAGGTCTCCACCTCTTGACCTTGTGATCCGCCAGCCTCGGCCTCCCAAACAGTGGTTTCTTTTATAAGTCAACAAATAGATATTTCAATAAAATTGGTTTGTGCTGTAATCTTACGTATTATATTTTATGCATTTAATCACACCATTTCAGGGTCCCTAGGCTTTGTCAGATTGAAAGGGCACGAGGGGGTAAATCAGGAGACCTTGGCCTGAAGATTGATAAAGTCATATTAATGAGGCACTCTGATATGTGAAAAAGAGACCTTGCCCTCTGGCTGGGGAGCTAGGCTGCCTTTGAATTGGTCTATGCTATGAGGTTTCATTTAGTACATTCCTTTTTTTTTTTTTTAATAAGCCTCTTCTTCAGGTGTTTATTACTCCCATTCTCTTATTTTTTGTCTTCTCTTATTCTTACTTTTTGTTTGTTTTTCCCCCTTATCCTTCGGTTTAGGTTTACTAGCAGATATCTCTTAGTCTTTCTGTGCTAAGTATTGGGCTCTCTTTGGGTGTTTTTTGTTTGTTTGTTTTGTTTTTTTACCATGCCTCTCTTAATCCTCTTTCTCTCCTGCCCCCACCCTTCCCCACCTTTCTCTGCTGTTGTCTGCAGCTTCTCACTTGGCGCTCCTGTCTTGGCTGGCCACACACCATACCCCTTTCGTAGGTTTTGTAGCAGAAGTTTTGGGTATCAGCAGTCCACATTACATCTTCCCTTTGGGAATCATTTTCAGTTTACTAACAGACACTGTTTCTGAGCCACAATTAAAACAACAAACTGGTCATTCCAATAAACAACCACACAACACAGGGTAGCAGGAAGATAAAAGCTTTGAAATCCTAAGCTTAAATATAATCATGGAAAGAGCGAAAAGTATTCCAGTTAATAATCCCTGATGGCCAGACATCTAGGGAAGATCAGCAGCCTGGATCAGGACTCTTCTCAGTGCAGAAATTCCCAGTGCAGCATACGAAAAGCATACTGCTTAGTCACTGCTAACCGGGGGAGCCCTCTGTAGCAGGCCTATACAATGCAATGATTGTTTCTCCAAATCAGAGCTCGGGTTGAAGACTCAGGGGAAAGCCATGAGACCTCATGACCTTTGTGCTTTAGCTTTAGAGAGCTATGCACTGTGCTTTCAGCACTGTCCTCGCCAGAGGACATATTTGTCCTGAAATAGTATAGCAGTCTCTCTCAGTAAGTTCCTGAATACTTCTATCAATGACCTAAAATTGGAAGGAAGGAAGGAAGGAAAAGGAGGGAGGGAGGAAGGCAGGGAGGGTAGAGGAGGAAAAGAGAATAGAAGGAAACTAATCTGTATTTGGAAACATACCACTTTGTCAAATATTACTCTATGGTTAGGAATAGCTTCACACATTTTTAATAATATTTGTTTCCATTTTATTTATAATAAAAGGCACCTAAAGCATTTTAACTGTCTGAAAATGTAGTGGCATTTGCACTGGACAAGAATTAACATAAAAGGTAGCTTAGAGAGCTTAGGATAAAATGAAACTGTAAATTTCATAACCTTTCTTAATCTGTTCATGTATCCTCCTAAAGAATAAAATCTGTTTTTATTGGGGGGGCATTTTTTTCAGTAATTACTCATTTATTTATTTTGAAAGAACTATATGGACCTTACTGTTAACTTACTAGCTGTGGTGGAAAAATAGTACATTCAAGCCTATCAGCTTTTGAGAAGATTCCAGATTTGGAATTTCATATGTCATTGTCATGTTGAGATGTATTAATTCATTAAGTTTTTATAAAGTATATGTAGATGTATACTAACATATCAGATATAAGAACTTTTGTCATAGCTCCAAACCAATGAAATAAAGCTCATCAAAGTCACAATCTGCAGATAATAAAATGAATACAAAATTAATCTTATGGATTATTCAAATCTAAATATAAAGATATTTTATATTTATTTAAAATAAAATCAGTGAGGATAAACCTTCTCAGGTCCTACTCTGAGCTTTTGTTTCCAGAATCTTCTTCAAACTCTTTCACATAATCTTATTATTTGGCTTATCTTGTTATTAAAAATAGAAGATCAGATATTCTGAATCTTAATTATTTTTTATTTTCAAATATCTAACTCAAATAAGACTTTCAACTCATGTATTTTATAAACATATCTATTCATTGTATTCTGAATAAAAGTTTTTATTTTTTCATATCCTTTGTCTTAGAGCATGTTGCTTAATAGTAATTATTATTGTAAATGTCAACAAACTCCTATTGATATGATTTAAGATAAAGACGCACCCCAAAGAATTTCCCCACACAATATCAAAAGTCCCACACAAAGAGGATGTGTGATATTGCACTGCATAGAGCTAAAGTGAAGTAAGTAGAGGGGACTGGACCACATAAATAAGATGAGGGTGCAGCTTTCCTGAAAAAACTAAGAATCGGAAACCAGGATGTCTGCCCAGGTTCCAAAGGATTCTTCTTCCTGTGGTTCCTGGGACAGTGACCATTTATCTTGGATATTGTTACACTTAATTTCAGTGTTACATCTCTTTTCACACTGCTGCAACCCAACTAAACTGGTATCCCCACATCCAGAAGGTCACCCTTCTGGATGATCTGGTTTTGAATGGCTCTTCCTGAAGAGTGGGGCAGCTGTACAAGTTTTTCCTACTTGCATAAAAACAATATTCATTTCTAATGAATTCTCTGCAAAATGAATGCTTCCCCTTGAGATCACTGGAGGCTCTGGGATTCAGAACAGTTAGCCTGACACAAAAGGCAGCCAAGGTCGAGGGTAGGAAAAAAAGGAAGAAGAGGAGCAGCTGTTAGTGCACCCTGGCTCTCTGTGGGCATTCTCGTCACAGTTGGGTCCTTCAGCAGTCAAGCTTCACCTCCATCTTCCTCCATCCCATCCTTCCTCTGACAATATTGTTGCCTCTCTTCTTTTCTTCCTTCATCTCCCTCACCGTAGGATGGCCTAGGTCCTGGTGTGCCATAGCATTAGAGATGGAAATGCCGTTCCAGTGACCTAAAAGGTACCACGTTTCCACCATCTGCCTATGACTCTTCCCCATCCCCGAGTGTGATGATGAGAAACAAGATTTTCTTATCTCCCCTCCCTGTTTATTCCAGCTGACTTTTTGTTGGTTTGTCTCAAAGGGGAGGATATCCTGGTACCACAGCTACAGAGAAAAGACAAGGGATGTTCTTAGAAACTAGAACTCTTTCCCACAAAAATGCTTAAAGGTATAGGAAATCCCCAAGTGACTGGAGAAAGTCCGTCTTGTTGAAGGGGCTAGGTAGGCGAGGAAGTGACAAGTATTATTGAAAGCAATAAAGAACTATTTTTCCTCTTTCTGAGTCCCAAGTACAGAAATGTATTGTTTTTCCTCAGATTTACATCAGCATAAACTTTAATCAAAAGTCAAAAACCCAGGAGAAATCCTAAGAATTCATGCCATTGTATTCAAAAGAATGTTTCCTGTGATAGGAAAAATTCCCTATTATTTTCACAAATAATTGGAAGTATGGAAGGATGGAGCAACTAAACCTAACAGAACCCTTTGCTAAAATCGTTAGAAGTCATTTAATCATATTTAGAATCATTCAGAGGGTTGCATAGTTAATTTTTGTTGATTTGAAGGCTTATAAATATTTTATTGCAATTTTTAATTGTGTAAAAAGTCACAATCGTGGTAGCTTATTCATTATATATGATATAGGCTTTTTATGCTGATTGAGAAGAAGTTATGGGAAAATAAGCAAAACAGTCTTTTTAAAAATAAAAAGCCTTTTCTTAATTTTAAGATGGTAAGAAACAGCAGGAGTGAGCACAATTTATTTATGTATAATGTAGCATATTTGACCAAGGGTCAAAAGGCAGTGGTTCTAGCATTAATCCTGCTACAAATGTACCAAGTGGCCTTGAGCTCAGCATTGAATCTCCTCCCCCAGCCTGGAATGGGTGGGATGATATCTGAGATCCCTCTTAGCTCTAACTAATTCTGTGACTCAATGCCCAGAGAGACACTCATTTGCAGAACACAGTTGCTACCTAAAACTGCCTCTAGTTTTTGACCACAGAGCAAATCTCCGTTTGTATTTGGATCCTTCCTTCCATTTCTCTTCCCATTTAAAAAGAGAATACGAGTTTCAGAAGAGAAGCCCAGTACCCCTAGCCAGTTCTCTAAATCGACTTCCGGTACTAATATTCCACTATACCAAGGTGTAGCTCAACAAACTTTGAGGTGATATGAGCCTCCCTGGTACTCTACTCACAGGGGCTCACAGGCCAGGACTGGCACTCATAGTACGTCCCTGCAGTTTGGAGTAAAGGGTTAGCGGCCTCACTCATGCTTCCTTCTAGACAAAGGGTTTTTAGTACCAAATAGGTCTGTGAGTATGGGACACACTCAGTGTGCTCTGTTCACCAGACCAAACAGCCCCACCATTTCCTGGCTGAATGCCAATAAACAAATCACTTGATTTCTTCAATAGTGGGTTTCCTCATCTATAATGTGAGATAAATAACTGCACCCATCCTTCAGGGTTGTTGTGAGGGTTAAAACTAACATGAACACAAACAATATCGAAGGTGGTATCTGGCACACAGTAAGAACTCCACAATTGCTAGCTAGCGCTGATGGCTGTATTACTATTTGTCTCCCCAGAACAGTTCAGCAACCTGAAATAAACGTACCTCGGTGTGAATTTGGAGTCTTTCCTCAAGTTACCAAGGGACATGTTCTAACTTGTTTCTACATGCAAAAAGAAGTGGCCAGAGCACAAATTCAGGACATAGATAAGCAACCAGAGAAAAGCGGTCCGTGGGGGTCAGAGACAAATCTCCTGGAGCGTGAGTTTTAAGTCTGGGATCCTACCTGGTATCCAGGTACTTCTGAAGAAGCCCCGCTGTCTCCCTAGGCCTAGCCCGTGAGGGTGTGGCCTTTGTGTGCTCCGGAGATGCACCAGGAGCCTGAGCACAGGGAATCCCCGTTCTGCTCCTTGGGGCTCTGAAGTTTGCCACTGCTAGGCAGAGAGCTAGCTTCTCCAGGGGTGCCCCAGAATAGGAGGGACTGACCTCGGTGTTTCTCCCGGAAGCCCTGGCGAGTCTGCGTTTCCTCCCATGTGGCCAAGGCGAGGGACCCAGAAAAAAGAACTGCTCTGAATTTTGCTTTTTCCCAACTGGTATAAGGGAGCAGCAGTCCTCTATAAGGCAACTGCGGAGAAAGTAAGAAAAGTCTGCACGTGGGAGGTCTGAAAAGGGAGGACCTAAAGGTTGTACAGGGTTCCAAACCCACTCAACCACCAAATGTTTCCCTGTAGGGTTACTAGGAACCAGGAATCCACTCCGAGCCAAAGGTACCTCTGGGAGAGGAGCATGCACCTCCTCAGAGAGAGAGGGGTTAAATGAGGTGCTCACTGGCCTTGGCAGTCACTGGGTCCCCACCCGGAAATGGGGGGCTTGGTGGCTAAAAGGGAGGGGGAGGTTGTCTCTTAGAAACAGCTGACTGCGCCCCCTCCCGCAAACGGTCTTGCACTCCAGATTGCTGGGGTGCAAAGAAGAAAAGAGCCTCCCTTTCAAGCATTCGCCACGGCATCTGGAACACCAGAACAATCTACCTGGAAACAGCAAGGTGGGCAGATCCACCTAAGCCTGGGATCCCAGGTCTAAGAGCTGGGTCTCCCCTCACCCAACGCCCACACCCCCTCGTTCGGCGTTTCCCTGCGCGCCCTCTAGCTCTGCGCTCCCCAGCTTCCCCGGCGCAGCGCAGGGCTCCCCCACTCCCTCGCTCCGCCCAGGTGCGATTCCTGGAGGGGAGGGGGAAAGTGGCTCCCACCGCAGCCTCCGCTCCTGCGCTCTCCTCCAACCACTTTGGACCCCTGTTTACTCGCCGGGCGTTGGGGACTCCCCACTACCCCGCACACACGTCTCCTCCTGGGAGACAGGAGTCCCCTTCCCACACTGCGGCTGTGGAAACAGCCTTGACTCCCGAGTGCCTGGCAGGGAAGGTGGGCGTGGGTCTACCGACCTGGCTGCGGAGGTGAAGGAGCATAGAAGCAAGCGGATGCCAGAGAAGAGAGCGGACTATGTTCCTCTTAGAGCATGGAGAAGCATCTCTAGTCCACAATCTGACCATTCAGTCACCGCCCAAGATGCCAACGCATTCAGATTCTCGCGGGGAGGTTTGTTTGCCTCTGGGGGGGGGGGGGGAGATTGCCCCATCCCAGGCACTCAGCAGTCTGTCTTCCCAAGCACCCAAGGATCCCTGCCTTCTATTCCTAGTCTCCCAGAGCCCCCAGGTACCCAGGCCCTCCCCTATATGTATTTACATACCCAGGCCAGCGCCCTCCGGACTCAAATCCCTTTTCCTCTTTGTCAGATGGCCTCTCAGGGCTGGCCCCTCGCCCACATTAGCAGTACCTTTTCGTTTCCCTCAACCGTGGGCAGATCTACCCCGACCCTCAGCCTCCTCCTCCACCGCAGGAACAATCTTTCCCTCCCTGAGCCACTTACTTCACCCACCCATATCTGCACTTGCAGTTCCCACGGCGCACAGCCGCAAGCCACTCCAAAGGTTTCATTGCCGAGTTGGGGGTGGCGTGTGCAAGGGTGGACTGATTCCCATCGCGCTGGAGGAAGCTTCAGGGGTGGCTGCAGCCATCCTCCACGTCCTACCTCCCTTATTTCACCTTCTCCGTCCCTACCCAGCTCCTAGAGGCAGGATGAGCACTGCTGGGTCCCAAACCCTCGCCTCAGGAGCCAGAGCTGCGGGGAGTGGAAAGTCGACTGGCAAGAACACACACGGAGAAATGGGCAGATGCATCTGGCAAGGGGGCTGGGGGAAGGACGCATGCAAGAACTAAACCTGCAACTTGCACAGCACGGGGTGAGCACCGGGCAGGGGAGGGGTCACAAAAGTTTTCAGACTATTGCATAGCAGCCGGCTGAAGGAGCAAAGAGGGTCGACTCTATCTCTCCCCGCGGAGGTCTCTCTAAGAGTCTGCGCAAAAGGGGTCAGGGGGCTTAGACAGGCATGGCTTAGAACTGGGGTAATAGTTCTCCTCTACTTGTTCCTTGGAGGGACGGCCTAGGTACCCGGGCAGAGAGATGATCCCGCGCTCTGCGAAAAGCAACAGGCGGCTGCACCTTACCTTGCGCCAGTCCCGGGCCGGGGAGGCTGCTCCATCCTCGTGGTTCAGGGAGGAGGCGTTGGGTGCGTATACCTAGGGGTGCGCGCGCTGCCAGGGCTGCAGCGGCCGCAACCTCCAACCAGCTGCAAGCCGAGCTGCCCACCTGGGACCGGGCCGGCGCGGCGGGCTGGGCTCCCCGGCGAAGGCGGCCGCGTTGGTGCGCGGCGGCTGGGGCGCGGGACGCAGGCAGTGCGTGGCGCGGCTGGCGTCTTCGGGCGCCGCTACCGAGCGAGGGTGCGGCCCTGGGTGGCCGTGCGGGGCACGACTTGGCTCGCGTTGCTGCTGCGGCCGCTGCAGACCCTGCTCCCGGCGCCGTAGCCTTGCAGGAGGAGCAGACAAAGACGCGAGAGAGGCAGAGCGCCGCTTGCCCAGATGCAATCGGCTCAGTCACTAGAGGGAAATCGCCTCCAAACCCAGGCTGGGGATGAGGGAGGAGGGGCGAGGCGGCTGGGGACTAGAAAAGCAGCAGGGAATTAACGTGACAATCAGAGCCCAGCCAGCGCCTCGCGGGCGCCGCTGTCTCACCTCGCTGCTGGGGGGTCCGGAAAGGAGAGAGGGGGCGGGGGCTGAGCGTTGGCTGCGGGAGGAGACCGGCTGAGGTAGGAGTATTAACTCCCTCCGCTGCTCTCGCCTTCCTTCCTCACACCCCCTTGCACAGCTCCACTTGCAGCAAGCTATGGCCCCATTCCTTCCCTGTTTTTCTAACTACTGAGATCACAGCTGAATTAAGCTGACCAAAGAGGCAAAACGTGCAATGGATTGATTGCCCTCAATGAGGGAAAGCTGATGCTTAAAATCAATTCGACAAATGAGTGTTTACTGGGTGCCGAGCACGGTGCTCGGCTATTGTGAGGGAGGATTATGAATAATCCTCCGACTCCCCCCACCCCCAACCCCACGTCCATTGTTAGATCTCAGCATCAGTTTCCCCTGCAATTCTGAAGTTTTGGGGTTGAGTTGCAGTCTCTGATCCTGACCCTCAACCAATCTAGCTTTCTAAAGCAGAAGGTGAAATTCAATTTTCCCTTCTCCTTCCTGGGATGACTTTAATGTGCAGTCGAAATGGAGTCCATAGGCCCCTTAAAAAAGCGCGCGCACGCCAGTGTGTGTGTGTGTGTGTGTGTGTGTGTGTGTGTGTGTGTGCGTGTGCGCGTGCGCGTTTTGAGAGTAAGTCAAATTATTGGTTTTAATGATGTTCTTAATTTCATATTTTAATTATTTATCATATCTGCACCAGACACCAGTTTGGGGCAGAGGAACTCGTCTCTTCAGACTCTACAAATACCACCTTTTTCTAAAGCTTTTTCCCACTACCCCAATCCCCTGACTACAGGCAGAATAAATCTTTCCCTTCTCTTTGCTCTCTCAGAATCTCATTCGCCAATCACTTGCGGGACTTATACATTTATAGATTTATCTCTTTACTCACATATGAGTATTCCCTGTGCTTTTTGTTTGTTTGTTCTCACTGCAACATCCAGCAGTGTTTTGTATCTAATGGGTACTCAAAGAAAGCTTATCCAGTTGAAGGTCATTTTCTCCTTCAACATGAGCTAAATCTGTGCCTCTAGAATTAAAGAGACTCCAGGACGAAACTTTTGATTTAGGGTGTGGTCGGGGGAGCCACACATATAGTTAGACTCACAGCCACTTTACTGCAAAGGTAAAAAATATTTACTTCATTTCAGTCTCTAGAAAATCTTCTCCCACTGACCACCCCACCTCTGTTTGCTGAATTCCAAAAAGCAAAAGAAAACCAAGCAGTTGAGCAATTGCATAGAGCAAGACATACATGTTCAGCTGCCAGCACCTAGAGTAAACCCATTCCAGGTGGAGAATGACCAAAACATCTTTATCATTTCATGACCTGTGTCAAGTATGTTGAAAGCCTGCCAAAGTTTCCCCATTTCTATTGAGACTCTTTTATTCTGGATACATTTTAGAACAGTTTGAGCAGTGTTACATTGCTCAGGGGTGAAGAAAATTGCTTTGTAGTTTAAGGATATTTTAAATTTTTGTGTGTGTGTGGTGTTTTCTGTCCTACCCTCTACAAATTAATGCTCCATGAAAACGGAGGTCCATAATGCAAGAGATTAGACTAAATGACTCGTAAGATACTTTCTGTCTCTTAAATGTTTTGATGCTGTGATTTGAAAGATTGTGGTTTAAAGTTTTTTTTTTTTTTAATTTCTGTTTTTGTTTTTTAAAGGATATTTTAGAACACAAACATAGGTACATCTGGATACCAGGTATGTAATTTGGTATAGTTTTTCTGAAGGAAAATTTGTCACTACTATTGAAAACATAATTTTTTTTGCATTCCATTGTTCCAGTGACTAATTCCACAAATTTATCCTCAGGAAATAACTAAGGTTGAGCAACAAGATTTATCTACCTGGATAGTCATTGCAGTGTTTTTATATTAGTGGAAAATTGAAAAGAAGCAAAACTAAATTCAAATGTTTACCAAGAGAGGAATGGTAAAAATATTTTGTTAATCTATACAATGGAATATCAGTCAGGCACTATCATGTTGTAGGTGAATAGGTGAATATTATCCTGACTTATGGTTGTAATATAATTATAGTCAAAAATTTCAGATGCACAAAGTGAGACATAGAATAGTAAAAAATAAAATCGGGAGTTGACAAATCTGGGTTTGAAACCAGACATTTCTATTTGCTGACAATGTGACTGTGGACCTGAACCTCCAATATATCAACTGTATAATTGGTTTGATGTTATTTACATTGTAGTATTGCGGCAATTAAGTGAAATAGCATTTATGAAGCACTTAGCATCATGTCTAATACATAGTAATATCTCAATATATTAAATAGATTCATTTAGTAGCTTTTAAATGTACAAATGTGAGATTAAGTATAATATATTTTCTGGCCGGGTGCGGTGGCTCAAGCCTGTAATCCCAGCACTTTGGGAGGCTGAGGCAGGTGGATCACGAGGTCAAGAGATCGAGACCATCCTGGTCAACATGGTGAAACCCCGTCTCTACTAAA